CTTACTCGGGCACCACCATGGCTACGTCCGGCTACGCCTAGCTCATCATAGTCACTGCCGCCTCCATCTACATTGGATGGGCCTCAACTGACGGTGTCACACCCATAGCGGTCGGCACCACGAGTGCGAGCGGTAGCTCCGTCCGCTCCGATGTCGGCAGCAAAATCGCTTCCGTCGCCGGTTGCTCGGCGACCTCCGAGGGCGTTCCCTCAGCCCCGGCGACCGTTTGTCCCATCGAGGGTACGGGCACCACCGCGGGCGGCGCCTGACAAGCTGATGAGGCTGTGACACTAGCTTCACTCCCGCCCGAAGCAAGAGCGACGTCGGGCGACGGCCGACATCTCGCCTGCATGGCGACACTCTTCTTGGGCGCCAGCGCCAAAAAGTGGCCTCATCTCAAGACGCTGCAAGAAACAAACAGAGTGAGTCATGCTGAAAACAGAGAAAATAGAGGAGTCAAATGACTTACATCGGTGCCATTGGGTGCAGGATATGTTTAGGGGATGAACCCCTAGGTCCTTGCTCCGCCTCCTCAGGATAGAGCCATTTGGTGCCTGCCCCTTGCTCCCGGGCTGAGGGGCTCGCCTCCCTTGCACTCGGGGGCACAGCGGCGGAGCCATCCCCCTCCCTCGGCACCTTAGGCACGGCGGCAGATCCGCCCGCCCCCGCTAGCACCTCGGGCGTGGTGGCAGATCCACCTGCCCCCGCTGACTCTTGAGACACGACGGCAGGGCCGCGCCGCCCCTACTTGTTTTGAGGACAGGCCGATGGTTTGGCTCGCCTCTGTCGGCCTCACGGACTCACTCCCTCCCACATGAAATGGGAAGGGTTCCTACATGGATGAGTGGATACTTGTCAGTGTATCCTCGCTCTCCAGGTCATCCCACTCGGTGTCGACAACTACCTCATCTTCTTCTTCCTCGTTGTCATCATCATCACTGTTGGTTTCCTCCCCATGCTCCCATGCGCGCAGTTTCTGCTGCTTCTTCCTCCTCTCATCCTCCATCGCCTTCTACTGTTGCTCGGCCGTGGCGTGGTTGGCCACCGTCATGACTAGGTCCTTCGGTAGCGGTGTCGGAAGATCCATAAGGATGAGCTTCTTCGGCTGGTCCCCCTATCTCAATATCAGCTTCAAGAGGTCGGGAGTTCGATTAAAAAGGAGGCACGAGGAAAGAAAACTTACAAAGACAATGTACCCCAGTTCCGGCCGCATTGGGGGATGCCCTGGCACCGGGTATACGAAATCAAGGACAGCGCCGGCGTCGTCCCGTGGAGGCTCCATCGCCTCCTTGATGCGCTGCGCCACTTCGGAGGGGGAGAGTGCTCCCTCAGCGAGCGCTGTCCCATCGAGTGATGCCCAGGCGCCATCATGTGCAGGGGAAGCACGTGCCTCATAAGCGGCTCCACCCTCCGCATGTGGTAGGCGCCGATGATCCCTAACCCTTTCATGCCCCTCTCCTTCAGAATTTGGACAGCGGCGAGATGGTCCTGGAGTTTCTTCTTGTCTTTCTCTGGGACCCCCACCTCCTCCACGATTCTAGGACCTCTTCGATGAGGCGCCTAGTGAATTCTGGCAAGGGGGAGGCTGTTTCATTCTTGATGTAGAACCAATGCGAATGCCACCCCTTGTTGGAGGTCGATAGACGCATCGGTGGGTACTCACTAACCCAGTTGTTGCGGACTTGAATGCTGGTGCATCCCATCAGCACGTTCAGCTCTTGCTTCTTCTCCCGCTTCTTTAGGAGGGTGACAGCGAAGAAGTACCGCCATAGGTCGAAGTGGGGAGTGATCCCAAGGAACCCCTCACACAGGGCGACGAATGCCGCAATGTGTTGGATTTCATTGAGATTAAGATGCTGTAGCTCTACCTTGTAGTAGTGCAGCAATCCTTGAAGAAACTTATGGGTGGGGGTGGCGAATCCCCGCTCGTGGAAGTGAGCAAAGGATACGACATAGCCATTAGGCGGCGATGGCACATCCTCATCGTCGGGCAGCCGCCACTCCTTAGCGGCAGTTCATGCGCAAAGAAGACCACGGCGAACGAGGCCCTCCAAGCGCTGGAGGGTGATATCGGAGCAGCACCATAGCTCCATTAGAGGATTGGGGTGAGTGGATGTGAATTCGACGATGGCTGAGATGCGGATGTGGGAGGCTTAGGCGATTGGCGGCAGAGGTTTGTAGATGCAAAGGCAAGGAGGCAATGTACAAAACCCTGGGGCCAATTCCTATCCTTTCCCTCTGAAGTCGAGCCGGACATTTCGCCTTCCCGAGCAGACCAGGACTCTTTACCAGCAAAAGGATACAGGTAAAAAAAGATTCCTCTAGCCCCGCTGGGCCTAGAAGTTTGAGGGATGGCCCATCAACGGTTTCGATGGTCGTCCTAAGGCTCCCTTACGACAAAGGATGGGCCCACAATTGGCCAAAACTCAGGCGCATAAGCTTCATGGGAGTCTCGGCCCACGATCGAGTCTCAGTCAGGCTAACACTGACCGAATCCCCACGAACAGGATGTTAGGATCCCAGTTGAGCTATCCAGCTAAACAACCACCAAGTCTCACGAACACGCCCGCAAAGGGTCCAACCTCGGTGAAGAAGAAATCGCATTTTCAGGGCACGCCATGGGCAGTAATGGAGGGCTAGGGCTCTCAGAATCCTCTCTTATGGAAAACCCTCCGAAGGAGTATCCTACTCCTCTGCAAGCTCGGGGGCTACACCCACTGGGTGCGCTCACGCGCACCCACTGGCAAGTCAAAAATCCCCCAAGCAATTCTGCTCGAATCGCCCAGGGGCTCGGGGGCTACTGTCGGGGACCAATATTAGGGTACGCAAAGAGGAGGAGCTAACGACTATCGAACGTTGATTCATCCGCACAATCAAGAGAACGACTACACCGTTTACCAGGTCACTCCTCGTCCGTCCACCAGGACCATGGGCCCCGCCCCAAGCAGACTCCGTCTCGCCCGACGTCTGAGGGCAGACTCTATCTCACCCGACGTCTGAGGGCAGACACCGCCTCGCCCGATGACCGTGGGCTGGCTCCGCCTCGCCTGATGTCTGAGGACAGACTCCGCCTCGCCCGATGTCTAAGGGCAGACTCCGCCTCGCTCGACGTCTGAGGGCAGAATCCGCCTCGCCCGACGACTGCGGGCTGGCTCCGCTTCACCCGACGTCCGAGGGCAGACTCCGTCTCACCCAACGTCTGGGGGCTGGCTCCGGCTCGCCCGACGTCCGGGGGCTGGCTCCGCCTCGCCCGACCCCTGGAGACTGGCTCCGCCTTGCCCAGTGTCCGAGGGCAGGCTCCGCCTCGCCCGACCCTCAGGAGCTGGCTCCGCCTCGCCCGACGTCTGAGGGTAGGCTCCGCCTCACGCGATGTCTGCGCGTTGCTCCTTTATAACTACGCGCACAGATAAGATAGGACACTCAAGTCAACCGCAATACCGAGGACCATACCCTGCACGTCTGCAGGAAAAGTACCATCAGGATATGACAAGACGGGCGCTTTAAAGCCCTTCCGGACATGTCAAAGCCCGAACAGTATTGTAGGCGTCGACATTTGTCTTACAGTGTTGTGGGCGACGCTATTTGCCCTCGGGCGCGGATCCTGACGGAAGAATACGACAACCATTACGGTCCAGAAAGAGACTCACATCCTCTACAGTGACGGACGTGCGGTCACTGCGTCGTCCGTTCCCCGTAGGGTCACGGATCAACACCATGGTTCGTCGCGCCGCCCACCGGGGCGGGATAGGACGTGACCACTTGCTAATCAAGCCAGAGCATGGCATCATCAGTGGACAGACGCCCAGCATGGAGCTATCTCTGGCACCGTCTACCATGTCAGCAGGGCTCACTCAGAGGAAAAGGAAGACCCGGCACCTTCGAAGGACCTTCTTTGCCTCTGGTTTTTCTTCTTTCTCCCATCTGTATTCCTTGCTTCCCCTCGGTCTATAAAAGAGAAGGCAGGGCATCCCACTAAAGAGATCGATTCAACACACCACACATCACATAACACATAGCTGAACAACAACCAAGCTCTTAGCGTCCTTTCAACCTTTCTATCAGGGACTTGGGACATGTCCCTCTCTCACTTATTTGTAACTCCTACTACGAACCATTCAGTGCTAATAACACGACCGGAAGCCATAAACTGGACGTAGGGACATTCTGCCCGAACCAGTATAAAACCTTGTGCTTTTAGCACACCATCCGGGTCCAACGCGCAATAATACAAATTTATTCGTTAGTGTTTATTCGAAACACCGACACCCCTATTTGGATAGACTAGACTGTAAATTAGCTTTATGCATCTAAACAAAAGTCATAATCAAAGTTTTCTAAGTTTATAGAAGTAATATAAAATCCATATAGGTTTACTATGAAAATATATTTTATAATTAGTTTAATGTATTTATTTAGTATTGATTTTTTATAGAGATTTATTAAACTTTAAGTTGTCTGGTTGACATCCTCACGCTCTGAGTTCGATCTCCCACGGGGACGAATTTGCAGCGTCGCAGGTGAAAAGGCCCCCCTCGCCTGCCCCGAAAACCTTAGGTTTATTGGCAGCGGCCCACTTACAGGGTTACGGGTGAGAGGTTTTTTTTTTAACTTTAAGTTGATAATTTATGGGAAAAAACAATATTGGAGTACGGTTTTTTTTTACGCAGGGTATACCTATACAATCAAAGGCGGCAATACAAATCCTTCAGAATCTGATTCACGAGCCGACGATTTTTATGTTTATACAAGGTCACGTTCATTCCGAGCGGTTGATTTTATCAGATGCAGCTTATCTCCCCCCCTCCCCCCCGCCCCGCCCCCCCTGGAAGAAATTCCATTACATTCCACCGGCCGTGAAAGAGCCAGGGAAGGGGGGAAAAAAAGGTGCGCGTGGAACTTTCCCTTTCTTCGCCGAAGCCGAGCGAGCGAAACACCAAACCCATCCCCATCTCTCGCGCTCTCGGCCTCGCGCACCCCATCAATCGATCGGCCGGTCGGCTATGACGCCGGGAAGCTCGGCCGCCGGATCCGGCGTCGTCGGTGAGCAATCTTCCTCCTCCTTCCTACTCGCGCCTCACTTTTGTCGCCCCGACTGTATTTTTTTCCGTGATCTTTATTTTAGCCCCACGGATCGCCACGAATCGAGCGATTCGGTCCTGCCTGATCATTTAGCGGGAGACGGTATTGCGGTAGTTCTTCTGCATCTGGCGTCTCTTGCTCCGTGGACGGACGGAGTATGCACGGACGGACGGAGTATGGATGTGGGGAATTTCTGTTTTGGATGATTCATCAGGCGGCAGCTACGCGCTTGTCGAGAGGTACTAGTTGATCCCGGCTGCCGGTGGTAGGATTGCCGTGGGATTGAATCGGTTCATGTGTGGAATTGATTTGGAGGAGCAAGAAAGGTGTAGCACGACACATATTGGATCCGATGCGAGCATGTGCTGATGCTTCCCTTTGGTTTTGGCCAAGCAGATCCCTAATTATAATGGCACTATGTACCACCACCTGCTAGGCCATGGTTTACGCATTTGGCTTATGCTGCGCAAGCCACAAAGCGTATTTCCAGTCATGATCTGCGTCTTTGTTCTGCACAGATGGTCACTTACTTCACTGCACCTGTTCTTGATGATCGTGAAGATACCTTGCATCATCAGGATCTGTTAGAACAGTCATGCGGCATGAATCTACCTATTTGGCTGACTGTAAGGGTGAGCTACTACCATGTAGAAAGGGAAATCTGATTTTTTATGCATCTTGCATATCGTATGTGTGCACATTTGAGGCTTTGAACATAGAACTTGCATCGAGACTGTCATGGCCCTCTATTGGTGCTTTTGTTTCTGGGTGTGCTTATATAGTAATTATAACTCGCAAGTCTCCTGGTATTGGATGTTGACTGAATTGTTTGAGTCGTTCTGAGTTGCCATGTGTTAAGTACTTGTTTTTTAAAGTACAAAGAATTGCATAGTTATGAGTACTTGATACTAAATATCCTCATGTTATATTTCTGATGAAGCTTTTGATTCTTCAATTGCTGTTGTCTCATGTTAAGCTCTGTTTAGCAATAGCTCTATGCAAGTATGCATTTGTCTTCTATGTCACAAGAAACCAGTAACTGGCCTACTATGCACTTTCCATTGATAGAACAATGTCAATGAGCCTGTTGTGCTTTTTTTTTTCTTGTCCAAGCGTAGCAATTATATTCACGAGTTGCACAAATAGAATTTATACACTAACCTGACTATTAGCTTATCATTTGTTCAACCACAGAGCAAATTGTTTTTTTTTTCCGGTGGGATCATGTGCCCACTATATTACCAAACAGATAAGAATATATTGAATCACTTCTTATGGGTTGATTAATATGTAAACTTGCACAGTTCCTCGGAACTTCAGGCTCCTAGAAGAGCTTGAGTGTGGAGAGAAGGGCATTGGAGATGGGACAGTGAGCTATGGAATGGATGATGCAGATGACATCTACATGCGATCATGGACCGGCACTATTATTGGCCCACATAATGTGAGATCATAGTTCTTTATTTAATCTATCTATATTTTGCCATTTTCTCAATATGAACCAGAGTACAAAAAACCTTGGTGCAAATTTTTCCAAGATCTTGAAGCCACCTATTTGTTGTTTTGCATGATTTGAGAAGTACCTGGTGTTGGTGAAACATGTCAATTGAAATTTTGTAGTAGTACAGAAAATTCTAACAGAAGTTTGGATGGGTAACTGGCTACTGTTTGGGTCCAGGAAATATCTCAAACCTGCTTTCTTACTCAGCTGTAAAGTATGTAAAGAATCCTTCTGTGTTGGTCAGTGTTCTTCATTGAATGTCGCTGGTTATCTTGGTTCACGTTTGGTGGGAAAGAACTAGTGACAGGCAACAATACATGCATGCAGAGTGTTGTGATATACATGTGACTTCTGTGATCAAATGCACTATAGCCTTTCAACTCACTTTTGCTCACATGAGACCTGCAATAAAGCTGCACTTTTTTTTTTGACCCTGATGAAGTTTCACTTTCCTACATTTGTATTGCTTATTTCAGTTTATGTTGAGTTTGTCTTAATCTCTTTTCTTTCCTGATCTGTCAAGACCGTCCATGAGGGTCGCATTTACCAGCTGAAGTTGTTCTGCGACAAGGACTACCCTGAGAAGCCACCATCTGTTCGATTTCATTCAAGAATAAACTTGACATGCGTTAATCATGAAACTGGAGTGGTAACCTCTTTCTGTCTTTGTGTGGTTGTGGTTGGTGCAGAATACGAGTTTCAGGTTTGATATTTGGGATACCTTCTCTGATTTTGCTATATCTATTTGGTTGAGGTCATGTAGGTTGACCCGAAGAAGTTCAGTGTTCTGGGGAACTGGCAGCGCGAGTACACAATGGAATACATCCTAACCCATCTCAAGAAAGAGATGGCATCCCCACAGAACCGCAAGCTAGTACAGCCTCCGGAGGGGACATTCTTCTAAAGACGGCAGCAACTCATGTCCATCCATGGTGACTCCAGAAACAGCGGTGCTGCACCTGGTTTCTATATTTTTATATATATCTAGTTGAATCTCCCAGATATCTGTGAACCACCGAGATCATCGAGTACAAGCAGACTTGTTCGTTACAATTTGCCTGGTGGTTGCTAATGATATGGGATGAAACGGTTGCCGGTTTGGCTGCTATTAAGGTTGTGTAATCTGCTGGGCAATTTCAGCTTGTTAATGCCATTATGATGAATCTTCGGCCATTTGCTGTTCTGCCTTAACTTTGATCTTCAACTGCATATTTGCCCAATTTTTTCAACTCTGATTTGCACCATTGCTCTTGCTTTGACCATTTAAAGACAAAACAGGCGCTGGGGGAGGGCAATTGTGCAAAGTTGACAAAAGAGGCAAACGCGTGGTTAGGTTAGGTGAAGGCCAGAATCGATCATGCAAATCGGCTAAACAATCGACTTGGTGTACAAACACTAGGGTTTAGCAAACCAACGTCTTCTCCTGACCATTGTGTTGGGGATCTCTTAATTTGTCACTTGCGTGGAGCTTTTTTTGCACCCTGTTTGGCTTGAGTCCTTTGCACAATAAAATGCTATAACTACTACCCTACTAGTTTCGCTTATAATAAGCCTTGCCATCTTGTAGCCTAACCTTTAAGCTACATTTGATGTATGGATTTTACAAAAAAAGCCTTTTATTTATATAATAATGAAAAAAGTTAACAATGAACAACACCTGGCACACTGAAACACGTGTGCATCGTAGTGGAGCTGCCAGTGCACTGTTATGATCTCAGCTGGGTAACTAGGATAGATGCCGGTGGACACGCGCGGCAAGTGAGCATGGAGGCGCCCGTCTCGAAAGAAGACGAGCACGAGAGCAAGTTTAGGTTTTGGTTCTATTCGCTGACCCTCGACCATCCACACAACGAGTTCATATCCAAAGACGAAATGGGCTAGGTCCAGTTAATTACGCCCCTGCGGCAACACAAGCCGTCTTATAGGCCCATTAGCTAGTGTAGCCCAATATCTCTGCACAGCAAAGCCCAAGACGTGACGTTCCCCCCTCCTTAAGTCGCAGCGCGTCCTCACGATGCTGATGAAGTAGACAACTGGAGCAGCAACGACGACACTGAAGATGTAGCTTGCCAGGTCGCCCAATTCGCCGGACAGGATTCACGCTACACCAATACAGAAGGTACCACATGATCACCAACCAAATATAAACAATGAGCCATTACCTGAGTGGGAGGTAGAGTCTCTAGAACTGAGAGCAACTGAAGGTCATCATCAACAGATAACTGCACATCTGAGTAAGAGCCTTTTTTAGTTGGGACATGAAGGACTGGGTGAATCTGACTTGCAGCTGGCAGCTGGAGCTTATATGCCATGTCCAATCTTCTGGATAATGAGATAGGGACCGAAATACTTGTAGCTGAGCTTTTGATTTGTTCTGCGGGTCACAGATTGTTGAACATGTGGTTGCAGCTTGATATACACCCAGCCACCAACATCAAAAGAGCGCTCTTGGCGATGCTTATCAGACTGGTGTTTCATATGTTGCTGAGCACGGTTCAGATTGTGTTGGATATGCTGTAACATAGTGTTGTGAGACTGAATCCACTCTTCGAAGTCAGGAACAGCACAAGCATTAGTAACAGTGATACCAAAGTGTTTAGGTGGGTAACCATATAGGGCTTCAAAAAGAGTATGGCCATGGGCTGAGTGGAAAGTGGTGTTGTAACAAAACTCTGCTAATGGAAGCCATTATGACCATTTTTGTGGACATGAGTGCACCATGCATCTTAAATAGGTTTCTAGGCACTGGTTGTCGGGTATCGATATTAGGGATACCAAAAACAAGGAAGTTAGCGCCCACGCTGACTTCCCCGGATGGCTCGAGATGTACTAAAAGGTCTCACCCGACCCAAGGCCGCGGGCTCCGTCTCGCCCGACCCCAAGGCCACGAGCTTCGTCTCGCCCGACCTCGAGGCCGCAGGCTCCGTCTGGCCCGACCTCGAAGCCACGGGCTCTGTCTCGCCCGACCCCAAGGACACAGGTTCCATCTCGCCTGACCTCGAGGCCGCGGGCTCTGTCTCGCCCGACCTCAAGGCCGCGGGCTCCGTCTCACTAGACCCCTTGGGTGCGGGCTTCGTCTTGCTCGACCCCAAGGACGCGGTTTTCGTCTCGCCCAAGGTCGTGGGCTCCGTCTCGCCCGACCATTAGGACGCGGGTTCCATCTCATCCGACGGGGACCCATACCACCGTCAACCACTCTAGGTCCAAGCATATGGGCCTGGGTCAAAACTCTGATGCCAGGGAAGAGGCTAGCATGCCTCGATGTAACCCGCGGCCATGACGTGCCATACCTGGGGATTCACATCAAGAACAGTGTCGGGCGTGCTAGTACTGTTCTGCCTAATCCTTGTACGGATGCTGATAGGCGTGTCAGTTCACCACGACGTCCGCTGGGACGAAGTGGAACGCCATGACTGGCAGATGACGCATGCACATGTCGCCAGTGACGAACAAGGCCGCGACATGGAGCCGTCCCTGATTGACATCTACAGGATCGGCAAGACCTGCATGAAGGAGAAGAAAGACCCGGCAACCCTGGAAGCCTTCTTCTCTCTCTGGTTCTTCTCCTTTTCCTCCTCTGTAACCCGCACTTTCCCTTCGCCTATAAAAGGGGAAGCAGGGCGCCCCATGAAAGGCGAGATCGAGACACAAGAGCACGACACGCGACACGAGCACACGGCTGAGCGGAAAGCGAGCTCTCAGCACCCGTTCACTCCTTCCACCAGAGACTTGGGATCCTCTCCCTCTCTTGCCTGTTTGTAACCCCTACTGCAAACCAAGTGCCGGTAACACGAGCAGCAGCGAATTGGACGTAGGGACATTCTGCCCGAACTAGTATAAACCCTTATGTCCTCCGAGCACACCATCCGAGCCAGACGCGTAAATACAAATTTACTCATCGGTGGTCCGAAAACACCGACACTGGTTAAGGCGCTCAGTTTGGCCATCGGTTTGGGGATGGCAAGCAGAACTCATATTAAGAGTTGTGTCAGTGAGTTTGAAAAGTTCCTGCCACATAACACTAGTAAAGACTCGATCTCTGTCAGATATAATGATATATGGTAATCCATGGAGTTTGTATATATTGGACACAAATGTTTGAGCTATGGTTAAGGCAATATAAGGATGGGACAAGGGGTATGAAGTGAGCATATTTAGTGAGTTTATCAATCACAACTAAGATGGTGTCAAAAGTTTTGGATTTAGGCAAGCCATCAATGAAGTCTAGACTGATGGTATGCCAAGCATGTTGGGGTATAGGAAGTGGTTGCAATAAACCAAGAAGTCTATAGTGTTCAGGTTTTTCTTGAGCACATACCTCACAAGTGCTTATGTAATCCTTGATGTACTGCTTCATATTAGGCCATGCAAAGAGAGACTTCACCTTATGATATGTGGCAGTGATCCCATTGTGTCCCCCCAAACCATTGGAATGTAGAGCCAATAGAACTGCTTTATGAGCTTCATTGTGATTTCCCAACCACATTCTTCCCATATATTTGATTATACCATCAACTGGAGAAAATCCTTTATCATTTGAACCAGCGAGACCACTACCACTATTGCGGCTGCTACCACCGCTATTTTGTACCTTGTTTGGTACAACTATTTAGCTGGGGATACCAACACCAAAAGAGAGCAGAACATTTATATAAGCATATCCTAGCCTATTACATCATTAAATTTATATTTTTTGAAACAAATCAGGCAGGAGAGCTACCGATTATATTAAAAAGCAGATGAAGCTCAGACTGAGCAAAATAAAGAAATACAACTCCGGTCGGTTGGATTGGGACATCAACGCACCTAAACCCCAACTCAAGGAAAGGAGAAAAACAACTCTGGTTGGTCGGAATGGGACATCGACACAAGCCACAACTCAACTAAAACACACGCTTCACCACCACCAAACTGCCACAAACTAGTCACTAAACTGCACCGCCACCCCTGAAAGACAAAGGCGTCAAGACAAAACCACCGTCGTCACCGCTTGCGTCATCGTTGCTGATGATGTCCCATACCGAGTAGTCGGCTGCTAAGCAAGGCTACTAAAAGGTAGATGGTGTTGAGAGCCATTGTATTGCATTGCTTGTTGGCCTTGTTGGTGTTGGTGAGATTGTCCGGGTCAAGAATCACATAGTCACTCTCGGTCACATCCCACACTTGGTCATTGATTGAACCAAGATACATCTTCATCTTTCTCTTCCAATAATCATAGCATGTGCCATCAAAGAACGGTGGTTTGCCCCCCACATGGTTGAACATAACTTGAGCCATAATTTAACACCGAGGTTGTTAAGCCTTTAATCAAACGGTGACCACGGCTCCGATACCACTTGAAAGGTCCTAATATGGCTAGAAGGGGGTGAATAGCCTATTTAAAAACAACAAGATCACTAGAGCAATTTGATTAGTATGACAAATAGCGAAATGCAAACTTGCTCTAGCTCTACAAGGGTTGCAAGCCACCTATCCAACAATTCTAGTTACTTTGATCACTAGGTACACAAGAGGCTATGTTGCTACTCACTAAGAGCTCTCAAACTTGCTACACTAAAGAGCTCCACTAGATGAACTTAAACTACAAGGCAAGCTCTCAATTCTAGTTACACTAAAGAGCTTGCTACAACTAGTTTGCGAGAATGTAAATGAGTGAGTGGGGTGATTATACTGCCGCGATAGAGGAGTGAACCAATCACAAGATTAATATCAATTCAATCACCGAGAGAATACCAAAGGGCAAGAGACAACTAATTTTCTCCCGAGGTTCACGTGCTTGCCGGCACGCTACATCCCCGTTGTGTCGACTAACACTTGGTGGTTCGGCGGCTAATAGGTATCACACACCTAGCCCACCACAAGAGACGCCGCAAGAACCTACCCACAAGTGAGGTAACTCAATGA